TATTGTACGTGGCCACCTGTAAATCATAAAAACAACAAATTGCGCACGGCTGAACGGCGTATGGGGGATCCGTTCGTGTTCCTAGGATCCATACCTCCCCCCAAAAAAACCCTCTCTCTCCTCACCGCCTATATGTATGGGGCCACGTTTACGTATTTTTATACGGACGTGTAGGTACAGGCAGCGGCAGCACTTTTTGAATCGATTGAAATATGGAGTCGAGTAGAGAGACCCGAGGCCAGGGCGGCGCATGGCTTAATGAAAAATGGTAACTCCGGAGTAGCGGGATTCGCGCGTTGTACGATGCTACCGGTGTACATGCTTCAGGCTTGAACCCCTTGATCCCGGGTGAACCCTTGTCGAGCGGGTTGTCACGCGACACACCCCATCGAAATGTTTCCACGGTGAAGCTGATCCCACCGACTCGTCGGGAAAGTTTCGTAGAATGGATATTAATGATCGCGCGACAACAGACGCGTTAAGGTAGAGGGTGGCAAAATTCTGGCTGTTTGTGCGTATCGCGTGTACATTTTAACGGGTACTTTGTCACCGTGTAAAAATCTCCCTCGAGGGAGAGCGAAAGGGAGAGAAGAGAATACGTAGTACCTACAGCTGTTCCTCCTCGTGGTTTTTTCTACCAGATATTTCACAAGTTTAACCGTGGGTAACCAACGAGCCGACCATCGCGGCTCGATATCGATTCGAATTAGGGATGCGGTTCTGTTTGTTCAGAAATGTACATAGACGTGGAAACAAGTAATTGAATCGAATGTGCAAGGAAACCGCGCGTATCCATTCGGCTGTAGAAGCAGATGACTGGAAGCTCCCGTTTACACGATCTAATACGGATTTGTCAGCACACGATTCCCAATCTCCTCCAAAATCCGCTGAAATCGGCGATTACCGTGCGCAAGAGAAAGCCCGAGGCCGAACTCCATTCGAGGTCGATCCAGCTTCCGACGTTACGTCCTAGTAGATTTGGGCTTCCGGCCGTGGCACCCTTTTCGAGCCATCGAACGGTATACGGTCGAATTGGAAACATACCCAGAGACCTCTGGAACAATGCTGCCTCTAGCGGGATTCGTAAAGTCCTCTCAATTATGCGGCGATGCTAATTACTCGCGAGCGCGCACTGAAGAAGGCTCTTTAGCCTCCGCACAACGACCCTTCACGGTCCTACGACCTAACCCCTTCGTTCTCTCCTTGTTATATCGGGCGAAGGTTGGAAACGGGAATCACGGGAATCTTGATTGGAGGAACACGCGTTGTTTGCACGATGGTTTACGCTCCTTTCCCTAACGAACGCCATTTCGTACCTTTCTTCTCCTTTGCGGAACGTTTAATACAAACATCGAATGCAAATTGTTTCTTCGTTTCTTTTCCAACTAAACTTGTAGGAATTACTTCTTCTTCTACCTTCGATATAAAGATGGAGTTTTTAAACAGTAGCTAGATTTATATAGAAATGTAGAAGTATGTTAAAACAGTTGCTGAAATAGTTGCGCGATATAAACTGGTTATGGATTCAACTCGAGCAACGTGAAACAGTCCTCGACAACTTCAACAACTATCTCACACACGCCACTTCTATACTTCTATATTTTATTTCCCTCTCAGTTGCATCTTTCCTTCATTTTTCTCGAAGACAATTCGCTTCATTTTGCTACTATCTTTTCGGTATCGCTATTTCCTGTAAAAGTTAGACACCACAGGGTTAAAACCGACTCGATCCTTTTCGTTTAATCGTCATCTCAACCATCGAGAAACTTCCTCCCTGAAATCTTCTCGTGTTCATAGCTAAATGAAGATACTTCTAGGTCAAACAGATTCAAACAGGGAGAACGGACTTAATAAAAGTTGTCTAATAAGAAGCCACTATACCCCGGTCTGATTAGGATTACGTCGAGTCCCGCGGCTGTACGTGCCTTTACCCGTGTGTTCCTTTCTTTTACATCGCTAGGTCTTGATTTTAGTTAACGACTTTTCGTCCCTCCTCTCTTTACCAACCCTGTCCCTAACTGCGCTACTAAACGTGACCGTACCGCAATGCTGCGGTAAATGAAAAGCAAACGCCGTGCTTGCCGCGGAGACCGAGGGATTGGCAAACATCGGTTTCGACGCGCGACTGACGAGAAAAATTTCAATTAACCGATGCACTAGATCGAACGAAGAGAGAGAGAGAGAGAGAGAGAGAGTGAGAGAGGAGGAACGGGGCGCAGGATCGACGATGTACGCTTTTCGTACTGCCTCTGCCATGGCCGAAAAAAAAGTGAAAATTAATTACTTCGTCGTTGACGCCAGGACCAGAAGAGGGATCGATCGTCCGCTAGATAGGATTAAATTGCGCGCCAGGCGTTTACTTTTTTCGCCTTCCCTTCTGCCCCCTTCCCTCTCTCGCCCCTTTTTTTCAGTTATCGTCATCCTTGTCGCATCGCTCTTGTTTTTCCCGTTGCAACTGATGAGACACAACGAAGTGATGATTACGTACCGTTCGTTGTACCGGAAGATAGGAAGCAAAGTTCTCCTTTGAACCCATACACACGGGTTCGGTGAGAAAGGATTTATCTGCGACGTCG